GTGGGGGGTGGGGAAAGGTAGCATAGGGCGGTTGGTGGGTTGGAAGGTAGGGTGGCAGCAAGGGAGCGATAGTGACAACCAATGGGAGGTAAGAAACTGTCAGAACAGTGAGAAGGTGGGCTTTCATAGGTGGTGACAGAAAGGGCGAGGGCTGGATGGTGGGCAAACAGCAGGAGAGGTGCTATGTAGGACTCCGACCGCAAGGGAGGAGGACGGCGACTGTGAAGGGGATGAGTTGCAACAATGGCAGCAAGCTGGAATGAGATGAACGGATGGTCGGGCGGCTGGAACAGTAGAAAAAAACAGTAAACGACTGTTTCTGAGCTGCTGCAGCAAGGTGGAATGTCGGCAATAGTGACGGGGAATGCGGGGTGACTGCAAGATAGCAAGAGGACGGCTGTCCGGGGTGGCGACAGAGAGGACATGTGGCTGGAATTGGGAAACTGCAGGGAAAACAATAATATGCAATTGTTTGGAGGCTATTGTAGCAAAGGAGAGCTGTTGGGAGCGACTTGGGGAGGATGCGGAAGGGTATAGGGGAAGATAATCATCACCTCAAGAAAGAGACACTGCCGGAGCACCATCCAATCCCTTGGATATAACCGTCAAAGGGAGAAAACGGCCGCTGACTGCTGTCCTGAGCAAACCTCATGTCAAAGCTAACCCTAGAACATTTGAAACACAAATATATAATAATAAGATAAATAGGAGTATGCCCCCCTATGGGAAAGAGGCGCCGAGCTCTTTTGGAAGAATCGATCGGCTCTCCTAGCCGAACTGAACGGTCCAGGTGTGTTAGTCACAGGATGCGCAGGAATCCTGAGTAATTAATGATCACAAAATTAGAAATTTTACAAAAAAGTTGAGATTATAAATAAGTCTACTTTGATTTTGTCTCGCATCACAATAAAAAAATATAGATTACAACGTTTTTGGCTTATGAACAATCACAATTGCAACAAATAATTGAGTCTAAATCCATCTAAGTATATAATTAAATGCAAATATGTACTGTGAACATAAACACAATAGTTTTAACTTTTGTAGATGATTGCTCTTCGTCATGCCCTTAGCTGTACTCGTCCTTTGACGCTCCCATTGGGCCCACAAGGCACTACTTTTGGTTTCCTTTTGTGCTTTTCCATTTCTTCATGCCCGTTGTATTTAGCCTTTATTTTACCCATGATTCTAGTGAGCTATTGCCCATTATTTTTGCTTCGATCTCAAGTTTCATCTCAGTCACCACTACTAGTTCTAGGCTTGCTTTATCGTGCTAGTTCATTGTTTCTTTCTCTCATTGTTCTTTTTTTTATTATTTATTTTTTTGGCTTATGTGACGTTGGTGACTTCAATGGTGGCCTGCCTTCACCTTTCATTGTAGAATGTATTTTTCGTCTCACTTCTTGGGGATTCTTTTGCCTCTTTGTCAGTGCATATTGGTGTTAGCTTTGAGGCCACACCTCCTATTTTGTCTTTACCCATTACACTTTGTCAGTCATATTTGGTGATTGGTGATAGTCTTCTTATTCCATGTCATATTTGCTCCTTGTTGTCATTCATTGACCCCTCAAGGGAAGGATTTGTTGCAGTCAAAGTCGTCTTCAACTTTCCCTTTATGCTTTCAGCCTGGCTTAAATTCTATCAGCCGCAAGCTAAGCACTACATTACATAGAAATGTTTTCATTTTTTGTGGTAGATATTTTTTATCTTGTAATTTAATTTCTTGGACTTTGGTGGGTAAATTTATTTTTGATCTGGAGATTATTCATGTCTTTGTGTCTGATCTTTGTTTGCTAAGAGAATACTCTATTGAACATCTTGATCTATGTTGCATGTTTATGAAGCTATCATTGGAAGTTAATTATCTTAGATTTTTTTTTTCTCGGTGTTCACATTTTGTGAATGGCCTACAACTGCGCATGTTAAAATGGTCTCCATTCTTTGATACTTCTATGGGGCCTCCAATTACTGCAATGGGTTTTATTTTCTCCGGGACTACCACATCAAATGATCCACATTATACTATCTGTATAATTTTTGGCAAACCGATTAGCTTTCGCTGGACCCATGTTCTTGTTGGATATTGTTATCCTCCACTATATCTTTGGCATCGTCAATTTTGGATTTTGAGAATTTTGATACCTCAAGACCAATGTTTAGGTTAGGTGTATGTCAACCTGTTCAGGGTTCTTTGTTATTCATACTATTTCTTCTCCGTATGAAACTAAAACTATGTTCGTTAAAGTTGCGTACAGTTGTTCTTACGTGGAGATTGTTGATGATTCAAGCTCGGTTCTTTTAAAATGTTATCAAAAGTTAAACTAGTTTAATGGATAAAATGTTTGTGCTAATGTTTTGCTCATCAATGAATTAATCAAAAACACTTTTTCCTCCATACTTCAAGGTTTGCTAGATTTTGTGATTAATTTGTTCGATGAATTTTGCATCTTGATGTCATTTCACTTCTCTCCTCTTGCATAGACATTACTTGTTAAGTTTTATGTCATCTTGATTCAATGTTTTTTTTTAGTTGATGGCAGTTCTCAATCGTTCCATATAAGTTTTTCATTGACTATTATAAAATTTCACTGCTTAGAAGTAATAATAAATGTAAGATTTTTAACATGAAATTCAACCGATATGGTTTGACTCTTTCGATAAAATAGTTTAAATTAATTTAGATATAAACTCTTTCTTTTAATCATTCTAGTGTTTCTCTAATTATACATCTAAAGGGGATTTAGTAAAGGTAAACCTTCATAGACGCACGAGCTAATGGGGCCCCGCTTTCTGTGACTTATGCTACTGTGTGCGGGTGTAAAGAACCGCAACAACTCTGTCTCGTGATTCTATCGTCTGGACCGAATTGGTCTAGACCTGGGAGAGCCACCTCCCATTTTGGTTTGGCGACTCATTTCCACAGGAGATCCAATCTTAGATATTTAGGGTTTATTTATGTGGTTCTTTTGCTCTGGGTTGGCAGTTTTGGCGTATTTTTCTGTTCAGGACAGTTATTGGCAGTCGGTGTTCCCCTTTCAGGGTTGTATCCGAGGGAGAGCAAGTGTTTCAGCTGTAGCTTATCCAAGGTGGTGACCTTCTCTAAGGATTCGAGTGATGCTCTTGTTGTAGCTCGATCCCACGGAGATATTTATCCTTACCAAACTTCTCCGAAACCTTTCCTACCATCCCCCAAACTGTCGTAGTTCCGTAACAACCCTTCTATTTGCTGTCCCACACTCCACCGCCTTTTCCTTTCACTGCCCCTCGCAGCACCAGCCACTTGTTTCACTGCTTTTGTTGGCTCAGACCTGCACATTCACTATCGCAACCCACCACTTCTTCCTTTGGTTGTTCAACCCCTTTTCTGCCATATGGGATGACCGTCGTGGCCACACAAGCCCTTCCCTTGCTTTCATATTGACGTCCAGCCATCAGGTGATGCTACTGCAGCTTTGCAATTCCTCTCCTCGCTGTCTTGAGCCTACCCGACCCTTCCAGCATCTTGCCGCTACTTCCCTATTGTAATCACCTCACCATACCTTGCGACCGCCCCCCTTCTTGCCATTTGACAGTCAATAGCAGCTGCCCCTTGCTACCTTCCGACCATTCTCCACTTCCATACAAGTTTTTCCTTCATAAATCGCAATGCCACCTCCCTCGACCTAAATTCTAGTTGAGTCATGTTGTCTTTGTTATTTTTATTTTCGTTTGTGAGGTTTTATTTTCTTATTTTGAATTCAGCAATAATATTTGATTTTTCTATTTTTGTTTGTGTTAACTCTGATATCATTTGTTATCAGAGCTAACCTAATCCTAGTCCTATCCTAGGGTTTGTAGCATACGCCAACCCGAAGAAACTGACGCGAGAGCTACCAGAACTCCCCTCTTCTGTGAGCTATGATACAGTGTGCGGCTGTAAAGACTCGTGGGAGTCTTGTCGCGCGATTCTATCGTCTAGACCGAACCGGTCTAGACCTAAGAGGGTCGACCGGCGCTCTCACGTTGGTTTGGCACTTTATTTCCATAGGGGGATCTAATCCTAAGAATCTTGGCTTATTTATGTGGTTCCTTTGTTTTTGGTTTGATGTTTTTTCGTGTTTTTGTTCAGGACAGTCGCCAGCGTCTCAATTCCTCCCTTCTAGGGTTATATCCAAAGGTTAGTGGCGCTTTGGTTGTGGCTCGTATGAGGTGGTGATCTCCTTCCACAGGATTGTGTGGTGCTCTGGGTGTAGCTAGTTCTCGCAGGAGTATTTATCCCTGACTTTCCACCCCCGCATCTTTCCTTTAGCTCCTGTCGTCATCTTTCTCTGTTGTAGCCGCCCCACACCGCATATCTTGTTGAATTTATGCATTTCCAGCTACCTCCATCACCTCACCTCCCTCTTTTTCACTGCCGCTGCTCTCCCGCCCTCCTTCCATGCTACGGCCACCCAGAACCCCTTATTGCTGCTGCCCACCTGCTGTTCCAGCACCCCTGACCTGCTGCCAGCCCCCCAAACAGCAAGTTGTTGCTGTTGTTGGGCAGCGCCTCCCCGGAAGCTCATCCCGCTGCTGTTCCCTCTCATCCCCGTGTCCCGGGACTGCCTATTTTTGCTTATTTCCTGTCTGTTCCAGCCATTCCCAGTTTGCTGCTTCACATTACAGCAAGTTGTCGTTATCTTACTGTTGATTCTCCGCAGCCCCGCACCTTCCCCACCTTGTACAGCCCCGCACCTTCCACCTTACCGCCCTGTGTTCCAGTACGCCTAACAGCTACCACCACCACCTGATTTTCACCCTAGTCGTGTCTTGTCTCTTTTTATTTCTATTTTCGTTTGTAAGATTGTAATTTTCTATTTGAAATCAGCAATAATATTTGATTTTCCTATTGTTATTTGGGGTAACTTCGGTATTACTTGCTACTCTAATACCTAAATTCGACATGTCATTGTGATAGCGAGAGTGAAAAGGGTTGACGGGAGATAAATGAATAAGCAGGGAGTTAGGGCTTCAATACCCATCTTTATTAGCACTTAGCACATGGGCGACCACGTTGAATTGAAGATGGTTGCCTCTACACTACCGTACACATTTCATCACACCATCTTTGCTTGGGCCCTTGCATTATTGTTTCTTACGATTCTTCTACTTTATTTCCTGTCTCACCAATTTTTTTTAATCATTCTCTGGTTCCCATCTCTGCTGTGTTTTGTCTCTCTTGCTTGCTTTATTTCCCTCAAATTTCTGCTATATATATTTTTTGGGAAATTTAATTACATGCTGCCACACAATTGGTATGCATTTACATATCTAACTCCTAAAATTTGATTTTTACATTTATAACGCTGGTGTCATAAATTTATGCATGAAATAGTGCATTTAACTTTTAAAAAGATAACGATGGTGGTATTTTTTTATCTGATGTTAAAGATTTGAGTGTTGTGAATGAACTATAAATGTTTAGGTGTTAGACATTTAAATATATAAAAAATGTGTGGTACACATGTAAATGCCCCATTTTTGTATGCCGCTACATCCATTTTTATATTCACAAAATTATTCCAAAGTTGGAGACCTTGTATAATTCGGAAATCAACTATATTAGCACAAACTACCAGCCAACAATTCTTGAAATTTTGCTTTAGTGCTAGAACTAGGGGTGTAAGTGAGCCAAGTTGACTCTTGAGTCGGTTCTAGCTTGGCCTGAAAAGTGGCTCGTGAATTGAGCTTGATGAGCTAATTGGCCAAGCTCAAGCCAACTTCGACTCAACTCGTTAGCCCGTGAGTCAGCTCGTTTAAAAAATAATTAATATGAAATATAATAAAATTCAAAACTTTATGTTTAAATTATTAAAAATATTTAAATAATGATGGTTTACATTTTATATCAAATGATTTCTTTTTATTTATTAATTATCTCCTAATTGTTCATTCTATTTGTCATTTTATTATAATAGTAGTTTGAATTAATATTATTTTTTCTTTTATATTAATCAAGCCAGCTTGAACTCTTAGAATAAAGCTCAAACTTGATTAATTAATCAAGCTTAAGCTCAAATTGAGGTCAGTCCGAGTTCTACTCGACTCGTTTACACCCTTAGCTAAATCAGTTCGAGTTCTACTCGACTCGTTTACACCCTTAGCTAAAACCGTATCAATCACAATCAACTATCAGATTGAGGCTTCAAAGATGGGAATATCAGATGGAGGACTAGTGCGACAATGGCAGAGAGAACAAAGAAACATCAACTTTGACATCAATATAAATGTACAAGATAAAAGCAATAGGGAAGAAATACTGATTGGGAACAACAATAGCAGATCTTATAAAGCCAATGGCAGTAAATGTGAACTCAACCAAACTACCATAAATAGTAGCCATGTTTAAAATTATGCAATTTGGTATTGATGCATTTTATGTTCATAAGGTGAGGTGATTTAAAGCATAAGCCTGGTGGTTTGAAAATTATGTATGTCAAAAAAATTGGATAAAAATAATACATCAACATCATAACTTATATTTTTATTAAAGAAAATCATATTAACATTCAAGTATTGTAAAAATTGACAAATTTTGTTCATATAAAATAACAAATTGTGTAAGCTATATAATATTATGTAATAATTTATACAACAGAAGAATATAATGTAAACATCGATTAAATAATCAAACTAACAAAATATGAACTGAAAGTAAAATAAAATATCAAAGTAAGACATAAGATTAGTTTAGTATAGTCGACTTCTCCCACTCGTATTGACCAACATAGTAATATCTATAAATCTAAATAAGAATATAATAAATAATCAGAAGTTGGAGCAATAAGGGACAACAAAGACAATAGAAGCAACTGGTGACGGTGGCAATGACAAAAGATTGTCGGCGAATTTAGGGTTTTGTAGGAACAACAAGCGGATATAGCAGAAGCAGGCGACGACAGCAAGCAACAAGCAACATGTAGCGATGTTGGGAGGCTTAACTGGTGAGAGGGGACCTCTTGCTCGTGTGAGTGCAACTTTGGTTCATATTTGAACTGCCTAATATATGAAAATAAAAAAGAACTTGAGCGTGAGAGGTGCATGTCTCATTGAAATTGAGGCTAGAATTCGTCTCAATCACACGCCTCACCCGCCTTGAAGCATTTTTTCTTCAGAATTGAGCTAGGGCTGGACTCGAGGTGCATCTCAGATTGCACAATTTTAAACAGTGGATAGTGGAGAAATTAACTCGCTCTTTATGGAGAAAAACCGCTCTTATTATTAAAATTCTTCGCTCAAAACTTATTATTAAATTTCTTCGATCAAAACACTTAATTGGCTTTTTTTTTATAGTATGACTTTCAAATTTCCATCATTAAGTGGCCTATAGAATAGTTTCAATAAATTATGTTTTTGAGCAAAGCATTTTTCAAAATTTGGTGACCCTTGTTTTATTTATATTTTTGTGGTATAATATTATGCATATAATGGTTCAGCTTTTCATATTTTTTTTCATAGGGTTGGAGTTGGAGCAAGTCATCTAAATCATGTTCAATTGGCAATTGGTTACAATGCAAAGAGGAAGATGATAATGGTAATATATGCGGCAAGTGGCGTAGGTAAAATTTTTGTAACTTTGTGTTTATTTAACTTTCTATTTTCTTATTGTCTCATCCTTATGGGTTTTAATTATATTCATAATGAGCGTGCATTATTATATATAAGCTAATAGCCAATGGTGCACCGAAATTTATTATTATTTTGTATATGTATGAGCATGAATTGGTATATGAGATGGGAGATTTTAAACCATAATATAAATGTCCAATAGGACAAGATGCGTATGTCAAAGTTGCTTAATTTTGTTGTCGTAAAAGGCATGTAAAACTATTGACTAATGCTATGAGTCATTTTTTTTATAAAGTTTTTCTTCAGAATGATGTGAATTATTTGCAAAAATTGGTGAAAAGTGATAAAAAAACAACGATCAAGAGTAAAGAAGTGAATCGAGAAGGAACCACTTGTTCGAACGGGAGAGAATAAAGAATCCATGAGCAATGACTCAATGACTATTGGAATCACTAAGAAGGAATGAATGTTCATGCCTTAATCAGCGTTAGATGCTAAATTGAACTATACATTTTGACCAATATTTTGTATTCAGCTGGAGTTGGTCATGAAACATTGTGTAGCAATGAAAGAAGGTCGTGTGACGCGCATGCATTACCTGCTAACTTTTGCTAAATAGGCAGTCGATGTGTAGGATAGCACATCGCTTTGTTTCTCTCCTAAAACATACTCTTAATAATATTGATTTAGTCCATTTTATGAAACAATTGCTAAACTTATTGAAAAGTTAAAACAATTGAGAAGATTTTAGAAGATATAGGGATTAAATTATTAGAATTAAAAATCATAAGTAATTTTATCGGCATGATATTAACAATTGTCAATCAATTTTATTAAATGATAAAAAAATGTAGGTGTGACAAGTTAAAGTATTGTGTATTTATTAGATTGTAGAATGGCTAATCCATTAGAATATCACTCTCGAGTTAAAGGGTTGCTCCAAATAAAGAAGTGTCGTTGAAGTATTATGGGATGGGATGATATCTTTTGGACTGCGAGCTAAAGTTTTCAAATTTGTCATTAGGTCGGAAACAAATGTTGGGAAATAAAAATGTTGTTGATCGTAAATTTGAATGGTGGATATTGGAATGTTGAATGTGTGACAATATTTGGAAGGATAAATTAAGGATGATTATATCAGTGAGATGATCAGAGTGACATCTATTGATGATAAGGTTTATGAAATTGATTGAGATTGTTTGATCTATATAGAGAAGGGTATAAATTGCATCAATTAGATTGGTAGATAAATTTAGTATGGAAGGATTGGGAATGAGTCATCATTGAACTAATGATAGCATGGATACAAATTTGTATATATATATATATATATATATATCATATGGCTTTGTCAATCTTGCTCTCGCTCTGCTAGGGTTCACCTATGGTAGGGTTCACCTATGGCGAATCCTGGTTTTTCTGCTTCACTGCATCGTCGTCGATCAAGAACTGTTTCGTTTTTCGTCCTTTTCGTCTTCTTCGTCAGTTTTCGTCGTCGCGTCGCAGCGGCTCATTTTGTTTTGTCGTCCCGAGTTTCAACGGCTCTCACGAGAAGTCGTCAGGCTTGGGGGCGTCTTCTCAGCTGCCTCTCGCAGTCCTTCGTCTTTTAAAAGACGTCTCGGCGTGGGCTTCTTTAGTGGCTCGTACTTTTGTCGTTCTGAGAAGTCGTCGGGCTCAGGGGCGTCTCTTAGCTACCGCTTGCAGTCCTTAGTCTTTTGAAGGACGTTTGGGAGAGGGCTTGTCCTCTCCTCGGGCTCGAAGCAGAGTTTTTGCATCGCTTTCTGCTCAACTTGGATGGGGTTACCATTGATCCCCCTTTCGACATTTGCTCTTCCTCTACTGTAGCTTTGTTGTCCTATCATCGTGTCTCCCTTTTTTGGTGATGGCTTTAGACAGATCGTATGTTGTTGCCCTTACGGGTGTCCACACCTCAGATACTCATAAATCATGCTCTTTGGAGGACATCAAAAAACTTGGTAGGAAGAATGAGAAATCTGCCATCTTTTTTTACAGAAGCTGAATGCATTCAACTTGCTTCCTCCTGTCATCTGAATTTAGTCGGGAAATTTCTTCATAGCCACCCCAAAATGGAGCATATTCATAAGGAATTTGAGCTTATGCATTTTGTTGGGGAATGGAGAATTGAACTTTTAGATGTAAGACACATTCTTATTCAACTTAATAATGAAGAGGATCACACACGATTATTTGCTAGAAGGGTAATCTGGATTGATAACAAAGTATAACAGATTGATAACAAAGTAATGAAAATTTTGAAATGGTCAGTGGATTTTGACCCACAGACAGAACCACAAATTATTCTGGTTTGGATTCGCCTCTCTGGTCTGAAATTTCATTATTTTACTCAAAGTGTTGTACTTTATTGCCTCGCTTAAAACGAACATTCCTACTTTTAATCTCTCTCGTCTATCTGAGCCAGAGTACTTTTTGAAAGACATCACTTCGATACCTTCTGAAGAAATTTGGTTAGGTACACATTGTCATGGGTACTGGCAAAATGTTATGATTGAGCATTTCCTTTTGTATTGTTCGAACTGTCGTATGTTCGACCACTCCACTTCTTAATGTCACCATCTACACCCCCACCTCCAACCAAAAAAACATAGTGTTCTGCTAGAGGCAGTGATTCCCTCTCCTCCTGATCTGCTCCAAATTAATGACAATATTGATCATCAAAAGGATACCCCTGAAGATGTCATTATCATCGCAGACAATATGTCAACCATTCAGCCTCCACACAATGTTGTAGCTTCCTCGTTTTTGGAGCCTTCTTTCTTGGGGGCTTGGGAGACATTTCAGACTTCACCTGCCCTAGAATCTATCACTAATGTTACAGGTGATAATATTTCTACCGCCTCATCTGGTCGAGTAAGATGTTGATGTTACTCAGGCACATGAGGTTCATGATGTGAAACAACTTACAACTGTCTGGTCACTTTTAAATCAATCCACTGATCAGATGAGTCAATTCTCGGATGATGAATGACAGGTTTACACATCCTGGAGGAAGAAAAAGAATGGAGACCTACTTGAGCTCAGGAATCTGATGGATGATACTTTGGTTTCTTTGGGTAATGGTATGCACCTCACCAATTTGTTAGCCGACTCCCTTCCGAGAACTGGAGGCAGAGACAGGACTAAATTGGGACGTCCCTAATTTTTTTGCGCGCGTTGGTGGTTTTGGTTTTTTGATCTTACATATATATTTTCTTTTTTTGTGATTTTTTGTGTTGTATCGTGTGGGTTGGGTCTTCTTTTAGGTCCACTTATACAACCTATCTATAACTTTTTCTTTTTAATATATTGGCACTTGGGCTTTTAATATATATATATATATATACTGTCAATCGATTCAGCATGCTCAAAGAAGAAGGGCGAGCCTCGTCGTTATACAGAGCTCGCGTTTTTTGCTCCATTTGATATGAGGTGGTCGTGTGCTGCAGTTGATTTTGTTGCCATCGGAGGTTGCGTCGCGTCATCTGGATTTTTTTGGACTCGCGTCGAGTCTGCTACGTCAAAGCCACTCACTGTTTCATCGACGGCAGCCAGCCTGCTGTGCTTGTGTGAAGCACGCTAATGGCCTTAGGGCTTTCCTAAGTCGTTGTACTCGCCGGTGATAATTCCGCCAAAGTTCACAAACGCAGCTCCTCTTCACCTTGCAAATAGTCTGATGTTCTCGCAGATGTACCATGATTCTGTTGTAGGACATAGAGATTGCAATCTCTTCAAAAAAAGTAGAGAAAAAGACGGACAAATCAACATTATTCTTCTTTGATAATGAAATTTCAACTAATGCAGGAAAGTACAAATTTTTACTAGTTGGAAAGTTCCAGTTAGGTCGCCCTAAGATGAAGATTATCAGGAAGATTTTTGAAGATTTCAAACAAGTTGGGGCTTGACAGGTGGTTCTTTTCGACGAAAGACATGTTATGATATAGCTGGGCATAGAAGAAGATTACACAAGGATTTTCTCAAAAAAATTTATCACAATCGAGAGCAATCATATGAAATTGCTCAAATTGACCCCTGATTTTGATTTCAGCAAGAACCCCCAATTACGTCTATCTGGTTCTCATTACTTGAACTCAAGCTTCAATTCTTTGACCTACCTATTCTATATGCAATTGGGACTATTCTCAAAAAACCTTTGCAGGTAGACACACTTATAGTTCATTTCTCACGACCCCCAATTGGAAGTATTTTGATTGAAAGAGATATTACACTATTAGATGTAGAAGAAGTCTGATTTGACTCTGCTCACAATGTTTATTGACAAAAAATCATTATGGAACAAAAACCTTACCATTGCAAACACTCATTGCAAACACTGCAAGTTGTTTGGACACCCGCAAGAGAAATATTTCAGATTGCACACACAGTTGAGAACTAACAGTCAAAAGCAAGAACATGCTATTAGTGCATCTGAACGCGCTCCCAGCGACAGGAAATGATGTCTATCTCTAGGAACCCTTCTCCTGATCATACTATAAGGGATAATGTTTGGACCGAAAGTCAGGATAGCCCCGCAGCTCTTATTCAAAAAGCATCGGGTGCAGAGGTGACATTTCACACTTCACATACACTGGAACAGATCACTGTGACAACGACTGCCTTTTCTTCTACTGCGGTTCTAATATCTAATCAGACAGAGGATCACATGAACCAGTTTTCAGATGAAGAATGACAGGTTTACACTTCTTGGTGGAAGAAAACTGGGGGCACACTCCAAGTTGGAAACTTAATGGATGTTACTTTAGTTACTCCGGACAATGACACGACACTTGAAAATTTGTTACCTGGGTCCACTCCTTAAATTAGAGGAAGAAGCAAGACTAAACTGACTCGTACCTAGCTATTTGTTTTCTGTATATTTTAAAATTTTTTAGTTTATCTGTATCTTTTTATTGGGGTAATACCGTACTTGATATTGTATGGGTAGGGTGTCTCTATGGACCCTCTCATACAACCT